TAATTTTTCTATTAGGTTCTTGATCTTCTAAACATTTTATTTCTAGGGGGCTTTTTGTTTATTGAAGAAATCAGCCCTTTGTTTGATATATGTGTTGCAAATTATTTTTCAGTTTGTCACTAGTCCCTTAATTTTGGTGTGGTATTATTTTCTTTTTGCTATATGTAAGTTTTAAATGGTTTAATGTCAAACTTATCAATCTTCCTTTTTGATTTCTTACTTTTGTGACATGGGTAGATAAACCTTCAATTTAAAATTATTTTAAAACTTATCTTCTGTTTTATTCTAGAGCTTTATTGGATATCATTTTTACATTACAATCTTTGATTTATCTGGAACTTAATTTTGATATAAGAAATAAGGTAATCAACTGTTTTATTTAATTCTCCAAAAGGCTAGCCAGGTGTCTCAATGCAATTTATTAGTGCAATTATTTTTATGATGATTCTGTTGATTTAAAACTCCAGTCCTATTGTATACTAAAACATCCTTAAGTACTTGGATCAATTTCTGATTGTCTCTCTCTCTCTTTTTATAACAGTCTCATTAGAACCAGGACCAAACATTCAAATACAATAGATGTATACAGGTAAATCATTTTAATGTCTTATAACATTTTTTCTGGCAATTCTCATGCATATATATTCCCAGATGAACTTTAACATTATTTTATCAAGTTCCAAAAAAATAAAAATAATTCATGTGTACTTGGAATGCTATTGCATTGAATAGATATGTTAATTTTGGGGAGAATTGACATTTTTGCAATTGTATCTTCTTTTCTGTAACTAGGTATGTATTTCATTTATTAAAGACTTTCCTAAGTAGAGTTTTAAAGGTTTCTTTATACTTTATAGATATATATCCTACATATTTCTTTAAATTCTATTCACGGATATTTTGTGTTTTTGTCTCTATTGTAAATGAAATCTTCTTAAAAAAATTGTGGTCTATTCAAGAATTATTTACATAGAGCTATTAATTTTTGTAAGTTAACTTTATAACTATCTTTCTTACCATAGTTTCCCATTATTTAAACAGTTTTCTAGTTAATTCTTTTGGGTTTTTCTAATACATTTTTATTTAGTATGAAAGGATGTGAATTTCTTTTCTCATTTCTGTATAGTATCTCTTGTTCCTTTCTCTTCTCCATTTGTGTTGGCTAGTACTTCCAGAGCGATGCTAAAAATAGTGACAATGGTGTCAATTTTTATCTTTCAGCCTCATGAAGGATGCTTCAGAAGTACAAGGAGACTCTCAGGCATTATAGACAGAGAGAATATAGCCTGTTCAAAGTTACTGAGGTTTGAGAAATGCCAGGCATGAAAGAACTGCAAATATTTGGTGTGGTTAGAAAGCAGAATCTCTGAGAGCAGGCCACCTTTGACAATGGCAGAGCCCAGGGCAAGAATAGCAAATGGAGGCCCACATATCTGTATACAATATAGCTAAATATTTGAAAGTTAACAAATTAGTAAAATACGTTTTATCCTTCCTCCTTAAAACTATACCTTTAGAATGACCTGGAAGGCAGAATTCTTGGGATCCTTGGTGTTCCAGGCTAGAATGTGGTGGCACAAGGAGTAGCTGTCTCTNTGATATCCCATTATAAGGAGTTTGGTCTGTGTCCTGTAGGGAGTAGGCAGCCTTTGAAATGAATGGAGATGGTCACTGGAAGATGGAAAGAACCTCAAAAAATGAAGGATGGATTAAAAAAGAGTGTTTTAGGAAGAGAAAACAATTGGGCAAGGAGTTGAGTCAGAAAAGCTCAGAGTGTGTTCGGGGGTGGGTGAGCATCCATCCTTTCTTGTAAAAGCAAGTGCCTATAAAGAGATGGGTTTGGGGTGTACCATACAGTGAAGAGCTTTGAATGCCAGGGAGGTTTAATAACTAGTT